TGCCGTGTTGCAGCAGCGGTCACGGGGGCGTGCACTTGGGCGCGGACCACCGGCCGTCGTCGATCGCGCAGTTGCGACGGATCGTGACCTCGGAGTGGATTGTGCAGGAGGGTTACTGTCCGCTGTTTATTTCCAACATTGCGGACTTTCTGCAGGCACCGTGGCAACCGCAGTCCGCGTGGCCTCGGGTCCCAGCACCCGTCCCAGCTGGGGACAGCCCGCGGGCGTCCAAATTTACAGCGCGCAAAGCTGCAGCGCCTAAAGTTACCCCACCCAAAGCTACAGACTGCGCCTTGGACGGGGATCGGGAGCCGGTGGAGGGACTGCTGCGTACAGTGCCTCCAAACGATTTCCGAGCCGACTTCAATCGGCGCCCGAGGTATGCCATGTCGCTCGAGGCCGCCGAGAAGTACTTCAGTCTCCACAAACTTCCCGCGCCGATCAATGACGTGATCTTCGTGTTTGCTGCCGATCATGCCCATGACCCCACAGGAATGAAGATGCAAAGAGTTGTCAGCAAACTCATGAAGTGCGGCTATGAGTACTCCTTCACATTATGTCACATGGCGCCCAAAGAAGAATCCGGCTCTTGAAGAAGAATTCTCTCTGGACCGATCTTTCCAGCTCTGGTTTTTTATGCGTGTGAGTCAGTCCTTTCTGGCTAAGTCTGTTGGTCAAGTGCATTCAATTAGCTGATAGCCCCGTTTCAAGAGCTTGGTTTCAAGTCCGGAGATGTTGGCTGTTTGGAGCGGGGGTATTTTTACTTGGGGTTTTTACGATGTCATCAAATGCTTTTCAGTTTTTCATATCAACAAGCTCAGTTGCAGTAATTCCTGAGGACTTGCGGAGCCGAGATCGGTCTGATTTAAAGCGGTATGACTTAGACGGAATCAGCGAGTTGGATAAGTCGATTTTGGTGTTGGATTTAGAAGAAGGCGAGTTTGTTCCTCGTTTGGGAGCGATACCTGCTCGTATAATTGAGTTACCGTATCGGACGAAGAGACCGGTAGCAGCTAAGAAGCATGTCAGAAATCACATCGAAATGGTGTCGAAGAATAAGTGGATTTTTGGATTACCGAATTTGGCAGGTTTGGTGAGGTACCAGCGTCATTTACAGCGCGGAGATGCACCTGTTGGAGCGGCGGCTGATGTCGCCGAGCCGCTGGTCGGTCCCGGGATCCGTCCGGTGCCTCGGTCTCCAACGGTGGCTCCCGAGATGATCGGACGATGGTACAAAATTCTGGTTGTCTGCTCTATATGCGACATACCTCGTTGGCGGCGGCTATGTGGTTGCGGCAAGTGTCCTGCAAAACGGCCATACTGTCCCTCCATTGGCTTATTCCACGGCTCCTTCCGAAACTTCAAGTCGGTAACTTTACCCCCTGTCGTAGTCACGACTCCGCACGTAATCGATCAAACAGCGCTGAAGGCCCTCAGGAAGCAGTCATCGTGCTCAGTCTTCGAGACAATCAACTGGGACGTAGTTATTCTTACTCCCGCCGTCTTTGAACCGCCCATGGTGGTCACACATGGCGCCTTGGCAAGACTGCGATGCAGGAAGCTCTTTGTGCTGCTCCAAGATAATGAACCACCCCATAATCAAAGGCACTGCCAGAACAACAAGTCGGGGCCAGAGGGTACAGTGTCCCACAGCAATGAAGGGTCTCCGAGAGCGAAGACTGCAAACATTGATAATCTGCTGAAGATTAACGCTCAGAACCGGCTCTTTGATCCGAGGATTGAGACAGCTACTGGAGAGGAGTGCTGGGACGATAAAGCGTCTCATTTCTACTATGAGGCCAGAGCCGAGTTTTCTAAGAAGGAGATCCCAAAACCAATGAAGACCAATTCTGATAAGAGGAAAGACGCCGCCTCAGCTAGTGATTCCAGCGACTACGGGATCGACGACCAGGAGGACTCCTCAGAGTCCGAAGGTAGCATGCTGGATCTCCGAGTGTGGAAGAAGCCAGCGTGTGCAGCTATGTCATCTCCGCCCGATGATGACCGCCAGCGAGATGGCCAGCAAGATGACCAGTACGACAACCAGCGAGGTTCAGTCTCGCGGTTCAACTATGTAGTTATGAACATTAGTCTGGATGTACCGATTCACAAAATGTTTCGGAGCTATACTTATGAACCCAAGTGCGGAGCTGGGTCGGCATGGGCAGTGAAGCGGGCGTCCGAGTGGACCGCGGCAGTTGCAAGGGTATTATCAGGGTCGGGTAAGAATGGAGATGAGAAGGGTGGTGAGAAGGGAGGTGAGAAGGGTGATGAGAAGGGTGATGAGAAGGGTGA